TATGTAGTTTAAGTTAAAGAAGTTTGTTAAATATTTGAATAGAAAAGAGGTTTTTGCAGAATTTACGAAGTTTGTATGTAATTGGGATTTCTTTTTAAGTAAAGAAAGTAGATAAATAAAGATGGTCAAGATTATATTTTAGTTCTGTTTTTTTAGCAATATTATGTAAAGTGTTGTTTGAATATGATTTAACTTTGTGCATAATATAATTTATATTTTTAAGTTTGGTTAGATAGTTTAGAATAAAGATAATATCCTAGTTATTTTATTTGATTTGAGAATTGTAGTTATAAGATATTGAATTGGTAAGAGTTTGTATAGTAAATAAGCTGTCTAAATAAATATGAATTGACTAGTTGAAAGATAAAATAAGAAATAAAGGTATAAGTACTGCTAGTTCAGCTTGTGTTGAGTTTGGTGCAAGGTTTATAGAGGCATTAAATTTAATTTGTGTGTTATTTTCCAGAATCCAAGCTATGCCAATAGAGGTGTTGTGTGTTTGTAAATTAAGTATAAAAGCATTTGTATAAAAATGTATGTTAGTTGGTTCAAGAGATAGTAATTTTTTGTGAAAGTTTATGAGTTGGTTTTGATATATAGGATCAGGTATTGTGTTTTGTATTAGAAGAATTTCTGAAGAGGGTAGTAAAAGAGATAGTAGAGATTTTGGAGCTAGTTTATATAGGTCTGCATGAATGTTTTGAAGTGCTTTGATTTTTTGGTTGTTTATGTTGAGTTTGAAGTTTTGTTTTCTTTTTTGTGTTTTGCATTTAATATTAATAGTTTATTTGTAATTTATTTGAAGCATTGTTGGTGTAGGATAAATGTGGATTGTGTTGGTTGTCGAATTCATAATTTGATATTTTTAAAAGAGTACTTAAGAGTTAGATGTATTGGTTATTTTGCCAATATGCCAATCTGAAGATGAAATGTAAAGTAACTATGTATTTTTCAAAATAACAAATTGTGGTGTAATAAGATTTAATATATTTAGAAATGGGTTAGTAGGTTGGAGTTGAAGATTAGGCCATATGTGTAAAATAGGTTAATTGGATATTTGGTTTGAAAGCATTTTAAACCATTTTGAAATAGGACCTCATGGAGGTTTAAAAGTTCTGAAATATATATTTTTCCAAGAAAGAAGGTTGTGATTATTAGCTATAAATAATTGTTCTAAGAAAAGAATTCTATTGTTTTTAAAACTTAGAGTTGTTGAGTTGTTAAGAGTTGCAATGAAATTATAAATGTTGTTCAATTAATTAGTGTGTTTGTAGGTTGTTAATTGATTTAGATAAGTGTTAATAATAGAGATATTATTTTTATATAAGTGATGAAGTTGAGATATTATAGTATAGTTGGTAGATTTTCTATAGTTGGTTAGAATTGTATTCTGAGTTAGAGATAGTTTTTATATTTTAAAAAGCCAATTCTTGACCTAGTGTATAAAGATTTAGTTTAGGAGTATGTTAATATTAAAACATTATTCTATGTTACTGCTACTAACTTGTAACATAAGTTTGTTGAGTGTTGGAATGTTAGTAGTTGTGGATTAGTAAGTATGTCATTGTTTGTATTAGTAGATAGGTGTAGCATATGTTTGGTGCATTTTGTTAGAAGACTTGATAATTGTTGGAGTTTGTTTTGTGAAAGAGAACATATTTGAAGTAGATATTCAATTGATGATAATAAAATAGTATTAAATAGTCAGAATATTTGTATAGAAAGAAGTTTTTTGTATTGAATAGTATGAATAAATTGAGAAGTTTTGCTAAAAATTTTTTTGAGTGTGGGTTTAGTAGAGCCTTTGCCATCTAAAAAAATTTCTAGATATCTTATTATTTCATTAAATTTGCAAAGTAAATTGGTTCATTTTTAAAGTTTAAAGATATTATATTTGAAGTACTATTGGATAATATTTTTTTGTTAAGTAGAATGTGAATAAGGTCAGATTTGAATAGGTTAACTTGAATATTGTTTAGTTGGTATAGTTCAGATATGTTATCTAGAATCTCTTGCAGATCATTTTTAGATTCACAATGCCAGATGGTATCATCTATGAAGGCAAAGGTGGTATTGTTGTATGAGTTGGTGTAGTTGAAAAGATTGTTTCTAAAAGGGATTGTGATGATATTTTGAGAAGTTTTGAACTATATTTTGAGTTTATATAACTGAAGATAAGGTTATAATAGATTTTTCAGAGTAATAAAAAATAGGTTTCTTCTTGTTCTATGCCTGAATAAAGTGTAATTAGATTAGTCAGACTATAGTCTGTAATTGCTCTGGCTTTTTTATTTTGGTGTAGATATTCAATAAAATTGAGCCCAGATTGGAGGATACTAATATATTTGCAAGCATCTAGTAGATATTTAATATTAATTTTATCAAAAGCTTTGGATATGTCTTAGAAGAGTATTCATGCTTCTTTGTTGTTAGTTTTGTAATGTTCTATTGTATTAATTAATATTTGTATAGGAATATATATAGAACTGTTTTTGGTTGCTAAAAGTTAAGATCATTTAGTAGATGATGTTAATTAATAATTTGATTGAGACATGTGATAAAAATTTTGGTAAGATATTTTTTAATAGGAGAAACCAGTCTGACTTGATCTAGAGTAAAGTCCTATGTAGATTTTTTTGGTATTAGAAAAATGTTAGATGTTTTTTATATTGTTGGTATTTGTTAAAATAAAAGATATTTTGTTAAAAATAGTTGAATAATATTTTGGGCTTTGGAGTTTAGATATTTTTAATGTTCATAATTTGTTTTTAATAGGCCTGTAGCTTTTTGGTTTGAAAGATTATGTATGACTTTGTTCTATTTTTCTAAAGTGATTTCTGAAAATAGGTTATTAAAAAGAGGTTTATTTTCTGAATAAGATTTGTAAAATTCATAAAATTTTGAGTTTTCTTCTATTAGTATATATGGTAGTTTTTTAAAATAGTCTTGAAAGTGGAATTGTAAAGCTTGTTTTATTTCAGATAGTAGAGTAGTAAGTATATTGTTAGATAATAGACAGTCTAAGTTGATACTATTATTTGGTTTTTTTAAAACATTTCAAAAGAAAATTTTGGGGTTTTGATAAAAGTTAATGTTTCTTTCTTCCAGTTTGTTTTAAATTTCTTTTAAAGCATTTTCTTATTTTCCTTTATGAATTTGTATTTTGTAGTTGTATTAAGTGTAAGGATAGTAATAAGGTGTTTTGTATTGTACATTACTCTTAAATTATATATATATATATACTATTGGTATATCAATTTTATTGAATTTATTATGCTAAATCAATCAAAACATCATTCTGTCAATTTTTATCAAGTGTTTTAGAAATTATAAAAATAGTTGTAATATGTAAAAAAAATTTTTAATTTTAATTTTTTAAAAAAATAATCTGGTCAGGTTATTAGAACTAAAAAATTAACTTCATATAATCTAACCCAGTTGCAAGTAATGATTTTTTGTATGAACAGATAACCTAAAATTAAATTTTTAACAAGTACAATTTTTAATATGTAATATAAAAATCAATTAATAAAAAATTAATTAACTTGTTTAGTAAAAAATCTTGTTATATAAGTTACTTTTAACATGTCAAATTATACATTGTAAAATAAGAAATATAATTAAAATAACCCATAGTAATGATCACCATGGTTACACAGATTAATATAAGTATCTGTCATGTAACAAATATGTCAAAGTAAAATAATATGTCAAAGTAAAATTATACTTAACTAAAACCATCATTATATCATTTATGTTCTATACTATATTACTAATTTTTGCATATCTTGTTCATCATTGTATAATTATTGTTGTGTTTCTTTCTTCTTCTACTATCATGTTTCTTCTTTCTTCTACTGTCATGGTTCTTCTATCATATTTATTTACTGTCATGTTTTCTTTTACTATCACATTTTCTTTTACTGTTGTATTTTTTCTTTACTGTAGCATTTTCCTAGTGAATTTTTAATGACATGATACTAACTTGCATTCTACTTTATTGCAGTATTTTTTTTCTTTTGTTCTTTTTTTTTGCACTTGTAATGTGCTTCTTTTTTACTGTTGTGCTGTTTTTACTATTATGTTTCTTTAGTTACTATATTTTTTTAGCGATCTTAGTGACATGTTTGCAGAATAGCTTATAAAAGGTAAATCAGTAGCAAATTTATTTATTATTTTATAGAGTTTTAACCATTAGTTTAGTTTTTTAAATACTTTTTATTTAGAGTTTTTAGATAAAAACCTTTTAGGATCTACTAGTATCTTGGCCAATTCTGGAATTACAAATAACACAGAATTAGTAATTTTTGAAATCAATAAAGAGACAGAATTATCTGTAGAAATAGAACCAAATGATGAGTCAAGCCTCCAACTTTCAGCATGCACTTCTTACATGTCATGGGATTTGGCTGAAGCATGTCTTAATAGTCATGCTAAAGCTATGGGTTTCTTCTTATATTGAAAAAGAGTAATAACTACTGATTGTAGTAAAGTTAAGTGACCTACTTTTGAGTATTCACATTTTGGGGAAACTGTTAGTAACAAGGTTATTAATCTTTCTCAGCAACATAATTGTATTTCAAGAAAAACTTCATGCCTATGGCATGTAAATTTGTCAAAACCAAAGTCATCTCCAGTTATACTTGTGACTAGTATAGTGGAGGAGCATAATCATCAAATGCAATTGGATGTTATATTGTTTGCTCCAAAGTATAGAAAACTATCCTCGGAAATCTTGAAAGCAGTAGAATTTTATGTTACAAAGGAGAAAATAGGTTCTAAACAAATTTTATCACTTTTTATTGCAAAATTTTCAGATTATATTATTCACAAGCATGATCTTTATAATGCTGTTCAAAAGTTTTGAACAACACCTACTCAATGTTATAGAGAAGCACAACATTTTATTGAATATTTGTTGTATTTAAAAAACAAAGATCCAGGTTTGATTGTTAACATTCAGGTGAATCCATATGATAATCAGTTAACAGGTTTATTTTGGATGTTGCCAATTCAACAACAATATCTTATCAGTTATATTGATGTTGTCCAAACTGACAATACATGTCAGACAAATTGGTTTGATATGTACCTTACACTAGTAGTAGTTATTGATAATAATACAAGAACCAGACTAGTAGCTTAAGCATTATCTGAAGATGAAACTACTGAATTATATAAATAGTTTCTCAAATGCCTTATGAAGGCAACACATGATATACTACTAGTATCTTTATTTTCTGATTCTGAACCTGTATTAAGCAATGCTATTGTCCTAAAATTACCTACCATATACCATTTTCTATGCATTTTCCATATACAGGAAAATATTCACAAAAATTTACAAAGTAAACTCAGCAAACAATTTGAAGAATTCTATAAAGAGTTTTTACATATGTGAAATAGCTTATTTAAAGAAAACATTTATAGATGATAGTCATGTTTATTAAATAAATATCCTTAAACCCAAAATTACTTTAATAAAACATTGCAGAGATGTATTAAATTATGAGCTTGGTGCTATCAATTAAAATGTTTTATAGCAGGAGTTCAAAGTACTCAGCATGTTGAAATAATGAATTGACTAATCAAAGAAGGTGTAAAAAGTACTTTCTTATTGCATGACCTTTATGAGCATATTCAAAATCTTTTGGATAATGAAGCTAAGTAGGCAAGACATAATAGCAATTTGAATTCACTCCTTACTAATCAAACACCATCAATCATTGAATCAATATTTTTAAAAGTTTTGGAAATATTGAAGTTGTACTTAACACCCCACATTTTAACTGTACAACAATAGCAAATTATCAGATCTTTTTTATATAGAGCACAGCTACAACAAAAGGATAATATCTTAGAATTACAGGTTTAATATAGTTGTTTTTTTGTTTATATTTATTTTTTTTTTTTGGTTTGATTGGAATTAGAGCATGAAGATGATTACATACTATAACATGTACTTATAGCATGTTTATTTGTAGTCTTTTATTTAATACTTTGGTATTATATCTCTGTATTCTAACTCTGTTGATCAATTCAAATTTTAAACTTCAAAGTAATCTTTTGTTTAGGAAAATATTCAATTAGACTATGATATCAGCTTTTTGGAAGATAAGTTTGATAGGCTACAAATTTCTATTATAGCTTTATTAAGAGATATTGAACCAAGTGAAGTTGTTGAAATCTGAAAGGTTATGAATTTAACAGTAGCTTACAAACACTATATAGTGTTATTGAGTGATAGTGGGCATTTGTGTACTTGCATAGTCATTATTAACTGTAGTATAATTTGTTCTTATTTTTTTCAAGTAATAATGAATACCAAAATGGCAGTATTTCATATTAGGCTAATAGCAAGGTAATAGTATTAAGATGATAACCAAGGTAAAGATTTGGAGGGTTTATAGCAAAACATTAATATTTCTACAACATTTCAGCAAAATGCTGTAGATATAATCATTTCAGATTTTTATATTATTGAACAAATCTGAGGTGCTATATACAACATAGAAAATAAGCAATTGGTTAACAAAAAGGTCAGATATGCTAACAGATTTGATAAAATAAAAAAGGCACTTAACATTGCCTTGGACCTTGGGTGTGAAGAAGAATTGATTGACATGATTACTCGTTTTATTGACCAAAAGAAATCTATGCTTGAAAGCACTAGTGACAAAAATATTCATCTTGATCAATCTGAACAAATAATTGTTATAGATCCTTTTGTTACAAAACATCATAGATGGCCATCAACAAGAAGGTTAAAAGGTTCTTCTAAAATTCAAGGTTGTAAAGAACCAGCTCATAATAATCATGCAATTAATCTACCAGATCCTAATTTGAGAATACCTTTATCAAATGCTAGTTCAAATAATAGTAGCTATATTGTAAAAGAATGTAAATGAAAATATGTATGTAATATATGTAGTAGGACAGGGCATAATGCATGCACATATAAGCAGTAGAGAAAATGAGTAGATATAATTCATAGTGCATTTCTAATTATAATATTGATTCAAATTGTATACTAAATACTTTGAAAATTAGTGAAAAGCTATCAAAATTATGAATGCTATTCATAATTTTGATCTCTTATTACATAACAAGTTTATTTTTTAGATAAAAGGCATTATATGAAACAGCATGACAATATAGCAATAAGGTTGTTATTATTATCAGATAAGTATTAAAAATCATTCTTATTATAGTGAAGTGATTGGATTGCAAAATTTTCTTTGCTATATCAAGTCTTAGTAAAATTTAAGTAAATTTACTAAACATATCAGGAAGGATATTCTTTATTATGCTTTTATTAAGAGTTCACTACAATGGAAGTAACTAGTAATGATTTTTTTTCTTATAATATTTATAGTTTTGTTTTAATAGTGGTTATAGTGATTTAGAATGTTAATGATAATATTAAATGAGTATTATAAGCTAATATATATATATACCAAAAGTTTTATAAAATTAATAAACTTCATTTCAATCAAATATTTTTATTGAATATTTGAATCAAATAATGCAAAGAAGTAACAATCATAATCACAAAAAAGAATTAACTTGAATTTTATTTAATGAGTGTCGTAAGAAGAAAGTCTGTGAATCTTATCTAATAGAATTTGGAATTTATATGTTTTTCTTTATAGCACCCATATAATGTTTTATTATAATACTATTGATTAAAACTGAAGATTAACTAAGCCTATGCATAACAATAATAATTAAAATTTTTAATAAGAAAATCATTGCAAAAATGGCATAGGTGATAAAATACAATGCTTTTATTATGTTTTTTTTTAATTTTGGATAAATACTGGCATGATGTTTTTTGTGCTAAGGTTAGGGTTAAAGTAGTTTTGGGTTCATAGAAAGGTTTATAGTAAGCTTTGATCATAGTGTTAATAATGTTCATAAATGTTACATAAATATGCATGGATAGGGATGTCTAAAATGGGGTCAAATTCAATAATCACTATTAATCAAATCTCTAGAATTAGGATTAAGTTTTAGATAGTTATATATATGCAAAATTGCCTTTCTGGCATTTTTAATTAACCTACTCAAGGTAGGTTTAGACTGCCATTTTTTGTATTTTTCAGATTTTTCACTCTTCTTTCTTGTTTTACTTTACTAGTAATTATTAAAATTCTATAATTTGATTGGCAGTAATCATGTGAATTTGCCTCTACTTTAATCTTTCTTAGTATCAGAATTATCTAGAATGACTTCTAAAAATCTTACCCAGGTGTGCCAACAAAATTTCACAGTCATGTGAGGATCAAAAAATTTTTTAAAGTTCTTTTAGATTAGGGTTAATGTTTCTAATAAAATGAGGAACTAGTGGGTTTATAGTAAAATTGCTTAAGAAATTTTTTTTTGTTAGAGTGCAAAAGGATTTCTTATGTAATTTTTTGAGAAATAAGTAATTTTTAAAAAATGACCATTTTGTTTTGATCTTCCTGATCATATAATGTTACATTAAAATGAGACTCACTATTGGATGATTATCATGTAAAAGTGAAAATTTGTTGGCGCACCTGAGGTAGTTTATATTAATATATTTAATTATGTAATTATGGTAATTATCACTATGGGTTATGGTTAGAAATATCTATAAAATAAAAAACATTCTAAAAAATATATATAGATCAAAATAAAATTATTTTAATATAAACTAATCAATAACAAAAGAAACTTTCCTTGACAATTACTTGAATACAAAATTAGTATAAAAAAAATAAACTTTTTGTATAACTGACAATAAGTAATAACACAAACAACACTCAAAAAAAGAAACAGCAAGCACTAGCAAAGCAGTTATAGAAAAAAACCAAAGTTTTTTAAAAAATTTTAGTAAGCAAATAATAATTATAAAGATTACTATTAATCTTGTATATAGATCTGTTTACATTATACAAACAACATGTAACAGATTAGGCAAAACAAACACATGTAAATAATAGAATAGAATAGTATAGACAAGTCATTTGCAGAATAACAGATAAACAAGTTATAACAAGAACACATGACAGAATATTCCAGAGAAGAATAAATTACAAAATAGACAAAAATCTATTAGAAAAATATAGAAAGAGTCTACAAGCAATTTTTATAAGAAGAGCATACTAGGTAATGAATAGTATACATAACAAAGTTATTTTTAATAAAGCAGGCAGAACATATGCAGTGCCTAACAGAGTAGACAGAATTGTTGCAATGCTTACAAAGCAAGACCTAAATGAGATAGCTCTGCTACAGTTAGCTAAAGAAATACTAAAAAAGGCAGAAAAAGAACAAACAGAAAAAAGTTAAACATGATTATGAGAAACCAAGATGCAGAAAAAAAGCAAATACAGCATAACAAAATGACAAATAGCAAGTAATAGCAAAAACAAATAAAAAGAAAGTATTGGTTAAAAACAAGAAAATAAGAGGAGTATAGAAGAAAAACTTGAAATTATAGAAAAACAACAAGAAAAATCAACATATCACAAAAAGAAAAGAAACAGAACTAAGTACTGAAACAAATAACAAAGTAGTATCTAGATCCTCTACATAGAAGCAAGAAATTGAAGAACAAAGAAGAATAACTGAACAAAAAGATATAAAAATGAACAGCAAGCAATTAAGACAAAACATATTAGAGAAAGAAAAAGAAAAACAAAAGAGAAGAAAACAAGAAGCAGAAAACGAAATTGCCATAGTAGAAATAGCATTAGAACAGAGTATATAGGCATCAAGCAAAAGAAGTTATGACTAAAACAACAGTTTAATCACCAATATACTAGCATATGATTTTTTAAAGAAACAGAAAAGAAGTGTATAAAATTTATTAAATGATTTCTAAAAAGTAATACATATATAAAAGGCATTAAAGAAGTATTCAAAAGAGAAAATCTTCAGATTAAAGTAGTCTTTGACTATAATTATGGCAGAGATAAAGCTATACAAAAAATTAGTAAAAAAGAGAATAACTTGTATAAGATGATACTAGTAGATGAAGAAAAGAAAAGACAAAAAAAAAAAAAAAAAGACTATAGAAAAGAATAATAAAATAAAGAAAAATATACATCAAGCTTTAGAAAAGAGAAGGCTAAAAAAGATGTTAACCAAAGAGAACCAAACAATAACAAATATGAAGAAGACAAAAGAATTAATATGATGTACCTGGCAATTTGAAAGTTACTGACTAATATAAACAAAAAAAAAATAAAGTATATCTACTAAAAAATCAAAAATATGCAGATAGTATGCATCAAAAGGTTTAAATACAAGGCTCTAGCAGTAATTCAAACACAAAATATTAAAGAAAAAAACATTCTATGATCACTACCAGCAGACAATAACAAGCTGATGAGAGTAACAAAAAGAAGAGAAGACTACAAGACAAGAAAAAGACAAAGAAAATACACAGCTAAACTAACAGAATTATCTAAAAACACTTCAGAAGTTTTATTATTATAGTGCTTAAGAAGTAAAGAAGTGAAGTTTGTACACATTTTACCAAATTGAAATGAAAATTAAAAAAAAACAGCACTAATTATATTTATAACTAAGGAAGACATAGAGGCAGCCCAATCAAAACCAATCATGTATAATAACTTCTAAGTATACTAAATAAATAAAAGAAAAAGAAAAACAAGAAGAAGAAAAAGCCTCAGAGATAAAAGAAGAAAAAGTTAGAACAGATTAAATCAAATCTTAGATATAGAAAAAAACAGAAGTAAAGAAAGAAGCTAATAAAATAGAATATATACAAAAAAAAAAAGAGATAAGAAAGATCTAAACTTAGAAAATCAAGTAAATAAAAAAAAAAGCAATAGCCAAAAACAAGACTTTGAAAAACAAAAAAAATATAGAAGTACAAATAAGAAGAAAGAAGAAAATTTTGAGAAAAGAAATAATAAAAACAAGACTTAGCAGCAAGAAAAGAATATTTATATAGAAGATATATTAGGTCAAATTTTAAAAAGACTAAAAAAATTATAAAAAGTAAGAAACCCAATAGGATAGGACATAGCCAAACACTTCTAAAGGCATCTTAGTTAAATTTATGAATATAGATGAAGAAATAGAAGAGTTTTTACAAAACGAGAAAAGAGATTTTGAAAATAGAAAAAAAAAAATACATTCTTATCTAAAAAAAGAAAAGAGCAAAAAAGAAAAAAGAAAAGAAAGAAAAAGAAATATAAAGATAGAACAAGAACAATTAAAAGAAAAATAGAAAGAAGAAAAAAAGAATATTAAAATAGCATGTCATAATGTTAATGAACTTAAAACCAAAGGTTGAAAACTTAGAAGTCTGCTAGGCTGAACAGAAAAAAAAGAATTACAATACTTGAAATTACAAAAACAAATCTTATAAAAAGAGAAGAAAAATTCCTAACATATGCTGCAAATAGTAGTTTTGTAAAATTTTGGTCAAGTGCAGTAAGAAATAAAAAAAAAGAGATCTGAAATAGGTATTATGATTAATAAACAATAGAAGAAACATGTAGGTGCAATCAAAAAGATAAATGAATATATAATAGAGTTCATACTATATTTTAAGCAATTGGAATTAGTAGTTTTAGTAATTTATATATTACCAAATGATAAGGCAATAGGAAAAAATATTCAACAAAAAATAATAGAAATAGTCACTAAAAGAAAAAAACAAATACAAATAGTTATTTTTGGTAATTTTAATTACACAGCAAATAACATATTGGATAGACAACATTCAGAATCAGCAAATTTTAAAAGACTACTAATCTTTAATTGAATGAAGAAACAGAACTTTAGTGATATATATAGAGATATGCATCTAACAAGTTAAGAGTTTACATAGTCAAATAAAGAGACAGCAACAAGAATTAACTATATATAGGTATCAGAAGGACTAGCCTCGGATT